ACTACTACTACTAGTACTACTAACTACTACCGCTACTGCTACTGCAATTGCCTTTCTATTGCTACTATTACTTGATACTGTTGTCTTGCTTTTGTCTTGCTTAGCCAGTGAGGCCGGCCAGTTATCAGTCATTGCCGTGTATAATCGCAGCACATCGCAGCATCGCGTGGATTCCGTAGCCTCTGCTGGGCTAAGGTGGCGACGGCGCCTGCGGCACCCTATGCTGCCTGGCTCCCGGCTCCTTTCAATTGCATCGGAGGCTGCTAGGGGTTTTGGGTTGGGAATGAGGGTTCGGGATTGCGTTCGGATTTGGGATTCGAGAATTCTGCGCTCCCCATGAGGCTGGAAAGGATTTCGCAGATTCACTGTAAGAGGCTCCGTGGATTACCTGCAGGATTGCTTGTGGGATTCAGCTTTTCAACATCTCCCTTGAACACATCGTAAACTGATGTTATGCGGCTTCTGGCCTCGTTGAGTGCAGACCGACAATCTCCCCAAAAATTCGAAGATGTCGGTTGACTGCCACCGGGCTTAACTTGGAGTCTTCTTGTAGAGGCTGTTGCAAAGCTTGTGAGTGACTGTGAGTGAAGCAGGCGCATTTACGACAATCAGTCGGAGAAGAGCAATTCCCTCAACCTGTCAGTCTGGCCCTACCGGGAGTGCTGATAGATTCATGATGGTTCATGCCCGAGGCCCGGGCGCCCGGTGCAGATCTGCGCCCTGGAGACTGGAGATGCCCTCGATGCAATGCTTGGGCCCTATGGGAAAGCAGAGATGGCCTCTTGCTCCGCATCACAGTTTTCTTTCCAGCACGCAGAGGACCACGTCTTTGCCAGAAATGAGAACTGCAGGCCGGGGGGATGGTCTGCTCTCTTGGTAACTGGGAGTTTCCGAAAACAAGGGGTACCTCATTTTGGGGTCCCTATAAGAAGGATCCTACTATTTAGGGTACTATATTAGGGTCCCCTATTTTCGGAAACCCCCAACTGGTGCAAGAGAATGTGTGCTGGCTTTCGTGAGGAGATGTGGACAAGCTCGCCCGACCGGCCATGACATGGCAGCCATGGCAGCTGCCGGCACACTGCCTCCGAACATTGCTGCGGCCAAGGCCTCGGAGTTGGGCCGCTACGTAATTCAGAGGCAGATGCAGCAGATGCAGCAGATGCAGCAGTTCTCTGCCATGAAACTGCTAAAAAGAATCAGTGACATGGCTCAGCCCGTCTAGTGTCCGGCATTTACATTCCGACTTAAGGAGTCTCAGACCCAGGGTCCAAATCGCCACCCCACTTCGCAGTCATGGACCTGCCGGACTTCAGATATCAAAAGCCCTCCGTCTTTCCTCCTTGCCTAGGTTGTAGCCAGGTCCTGCTAAGGCGCTACCATCCCCCACGCTATCGACCATGTACCTAGAACAGCTGAAACTCCTAAGACTTAAAGACCACTCCTTGAAGAATCCTGGAGACAGCGTGCGAATCCCCCTAAACGCTGAGGGCCGGTGGAGAAAAGATCGCTCGCCACGGCTTCAGCTCCTCTGTTTAGGCGGAGGGTCTACACTAGCACTTTGCTGGGATCTGGACAGGCAGTCGAAGGGAAGAGCAGCCACACTCCCTGAAACCCTCGTGCTGGTGCTCTCGGGTTTCTGAGGCGAAGCCCGATGCGATGAGAGGCCCTCGGGATGTGCCCTTTGTGAGTGCCCATTGCACCTTGCATATTGCCCTAGCGGCGTTGAGTCTCAGAAGACCCGACGCCCAATATTCTTGCTATGTGTGCGAGGCTTGTCGAGGGGTGTGCACCCTTTGTAAATAGTGAGTTGTGTGCGGGCGATGGAAAAGTCTCTCCGTTTAAGGCACTTTGGGAAACGACAGTGATGCTTGAGACGATCACGATGGCAAGGGTGGTGATGATGGCGATGATCATGATCATGATGCTGATGCTGCTGCTG